GTTTTTGGGCCTATTTTCTGCAAGTAGAATCATTGGATTCACTAGCTCGTTCACATTAAATTGTTTTATGTGGCTTTGTCTGATGGCTTCGAATACGTCAAATTTGCGATCTTAAACCATTTAAGGTTTTACAAAATCCTGAAAAACTAGGTATTCAGCTTTCGGTTTCTTATGATTTGGTGGTCATAAATTCCCTAAAAACGCTTGTATCGAAATTCTTGTTTTCCAGAAGCAAAGCTTTGTAACTGATAGCTTATTTGTTTCTTGATGAATAATTTCATTGTGACGTCAGTTTTCAGGACTGGCAAAAAAATTACTTTGCTTTTTTGTTTGGAATTTCGCTGATAGCAGCATATGTGCCTTTGAATGATGAAATCGCGAGCTGGAAAGTGCTCGGTTCCCATTTTAGTTATGTGCATTTAGCTTACCTCATCATCGCCGCGTTAAGCATCGGGCCGACAGTGCACTGGATTATTCTTCACGGTGGTCTGGACAATGACCATGTTCTGGTAAGCTCATTTCAGCTTTAAGTAATTAGCACCTGCTGCTCATCTTTGTTATTTTTTGTGCTTACTTGACTCTTTAAACGGCCACTAGTTCACTAATTGATACAACTACGTTATTTTCTTCATTTCATTATTGTTCTGACCAGTACTGCATCGCTTGGTTATCAGTCTTCTGGTGTCCTGATGTCCCATTTGTCTCCTGAGGAGTTATAGCCTCTCTGATTGTCCGTATAGGAGCACTTTGGCAAGGCTTCAGCCACGAGGAGAATGAACAACATTTGCTGAGCGTCACCACCCTTAAGCTTTACTACTCCCAGACCACGTTGAGGTACGTTGTCTCTAAAAGAAAGATTATATTACCCTGATTTTTAGGGAGGAGCGCCGTTTTGGTGTTCAGAAACGAAGATCTTTCTTGCATTTCTTTTTTTTTTGATAAAAAATGTGTTTGTAAATTTGATTTTCTCTTGATGGCTCCTCTGGGATTGCTTCTTCCTTTAAGGGGTACTCGGAAATACGGCTCGACCCCTCTTGTTGTAGAGTTGATGCTTTCGCTAAACACAACTATCCGAGCACTGACGCTGAATCGGTGCTTCTTTCAAAGGCCATGTGTTTTTGCAAGTTTAGGTGCTGTTTTTGTCACTGAAAAACTTCAAAAAAATGTGAAGCGAAAGCAACTGAAGATTCTAGGACGCATTTTCTAATCGTCTGTAGATTTTTCAATTTTGAATGTAAATGAACTAAAATTATTTTTCATTGTATTCGTAGGCTGCGCGAATTTGGTACTTTTCAGAAATGGTTGCCAAACCTGCTGATATTATATGCAGCTACGGGATCTGCATTCCTCTTTCACGTATCGATGGTTCCAGAACGATTCCTACCTGGTAAGCAGAGACGTGACTTGGAGGGAAGTTCTGATGGACGGGAGGGCGAAACACTATGCAAATCCGGTCATTTCATCTATGACATCAGTTAACAATTAACAGAGGCCAAAATCGCTGACCGCTGAGTTACAAAGAAGCCAAAATTGCATGCGTGAAGGAACAGGGATACGAAGAAGCTGACTGGCTAAATTATAGCCGTGAAGAGAAAAATTGTCCAGGATACGGCCAAATGAAAATTAAAAATTTTCCAGAAATGCGCAAAATATGACTAAAAGATGTGCCTAAAAACTCAATTGCATTGAAAAGTAGAAATGATGAACTTTTTAATAGAACGTGCTGCGTCTAGGACGCTAATTGAGAAAGAGGCGCCGTTTAGAATTTGACTGTGCCAAATGATTCGCTTTTTATATTTAGGCACATTTGATATGCTTGGGTACAGTCATCAGTGGTGGCACGTGCTAATCCTCGTAGCAATGGGATTTTGGCAAAAAATCAGCCTCGATTATTTGGCGCTGCACCGCTCGTATCCGCACTATTGCTTTACGCATCACGGATTGCGGAATCTAACTAGCAGCTGATCTCCTCAATCTTAAAATACCGGTTATTGCGATAATTGTTGAAAAAAAGAGAATTTCTTTGCGATGTCACTGAATGTTTTTAAAATATTTTTGCAAATTCTGTGGTACCTAGGAATCACTCCGTGTTCTGGATGAGCGGTTTTTTGGGGAATTATTTTCTTGAGGACCGCTTGAACTCTAACCGCCGCGGTGTGATTTTACTTGCATGGCTCTGCGAGGGTCTTCTGCTTTTCCAGCCTACCACTTCAGCCGCTGCAGTATCGTGCCATTCACCTGTCCAGGTGTTAGTTTCTTTTTGTGTCATAAAAATATCTATGTAACGGATCCTGAAAATTGCTCTTTGCTTGAGAAGAATAGCATGGACTGCAGGCAGCCTTTCAAAAACGAGTGGATTTATTGCACTGAAAGAGCTCTTGAAGCCAATGATGACCTGACCTCATATTGCATTGCCCTTCAAATCCTAAAATTCTGGATTTTTTAAAGTTCTTAGATACTAAATCTGCAGATCGATTCTAATTGATCTTTTGTGCGTCACTCTTTGTGATACAAGGAGCATTTTTCAGTTTTTTTTTTTTGTAATTTCTTTAAACTATGCATCGGTGTCTGTGGTCTGCCTGGGTGCAGTCACAGTTTCATGTAATGGATCTCCGGCACCACTCTGGACACTTTAAGTCTTGATTCGGAATGACGTCCAGAAGCTTTTTTGTTCAACTTGCAAATCGGTAGAGGTAACTGAAATTTTCAGCTAGTAAAAACTAGCAAGCATTGCTTAGAAGAAAAATCAACAACTGCTCCGCTGCAGCAGGGTAAATTCGCACTAGGCAAACCTGTCATAATTGTATAAATGTGTTTGTTTTACCTAGACCTTAAAGTAATGCGATCGTTAAGGTTAATTCGCGGTTCCTTAGATTTGCTTTTGTTGCGTAAGCCATAAAAGTGGCATGTCGAACATCGGTATAAATGTGTTGCGTGGATAATTAACTGTCAGTGACTATGCAGAATTAAGGATTTCGGTGCAGTCGACGCTTCAAAAGCCTGCGGAAATTCTCAGATGATTAGCTCCTCCTAGTATCCCTCTTCTTGTAAATGTTGGATATCATAGGTCTCAAGAGGAGGACTAATTGATGACCTGGAACGCAGTATAAGCAGTTGAGGGAATTTTATACAAATGATAGTTCTCTGGATGCAAAAAAAAAAAATGACGTTAGGGCCATTCCAACTGACCACCAAATGGTCATGGAAAAATTGCGAGCTGTTCTGAAGGCAATTTTTCCATAACCGAAGACTGCATCGCTTGGCGGTCAAGCTGTTTTGATCCTGACTTTCATTTGCCTCGGCGTGTTACGATACTTCGTCAAAGTAACAAAGTAAGCAGAACTTGAATCAGATTGATGATGCTGTTGGGTGGTCAAGATTTGACGTCCAACACTAGAAGCCTGGTGATTCTATTTTTCTTTTCGATGATAAAATAGAGCTGGTATTTGTGTTTGTCAAAGTTGTCAGCAAACTCATATACAACCGATATCCAAGTAGCTGCAGAGAGAGCGGATCAAATAAACGTCTACTCCCAATACGGTTCGGAAGATTAAAAACTTCCAAACTTTTTGGATAGAAAAAAATCCACACTGTATTTCCCATCTCCAACGTTGCCTTCTGTTTTGGTCGTCCTGAATAAATACTCTGGAATGACAGTACTTTTTCGGCAGTTTAAAAGGCACTGCAACTTAGCATTAACCCTTTACTGGAATGTCAGTGCGGGAAATATCCAGAGAATGGCAGGCACTCGCTCTTTTGTACAGCGACTTACCATTCATCCACATATTATTGAAATGACGGTTGTGGCTCACGGTGAAGTGACAAAAGCGATAAATTTTACAATCGATTGAGATTGGAAAGTAGCGAACGTGCATCCGGGATTTTAGCTAGTGTCTCCAGTAACTGTTTCGCCTTCCTCGCTGCTTCATCTGCCCCTGTTGCTATTTCATTCAGTCGTTTTACAAGTTCCCTCTTGCCCTGAAAATTGACGTGTTAGCTGATGACAACATAGATTTTTGAAATCCCAGCTAAACACTGTCCTTGCCGATTGAGTTTGCTTCTCTTCAGCCCCAAGCTCGCTGGTCATCCCCAGCTTGACTGAATTTAGTATGCACCGAGTTTCGCGTTTCGTCCCCCAGCTCCAGCTGGATTTGTTGTGCCTTCTACTACTGGTCCGTATGCTTTTAGTCGTTCCCATTTTTCTGATATTTTTGATGTGTTGTGAGCTCTTTCAGTATCTACTGTGATGGTCACTCAAACTGCATCACGCTGCAGCGCTTTGGCGACACCCAGTTACCGGTCAAGCCGATGTGATGTCCACGTTATACCATCTGTGGGTTACTACTCTACTCACTGTTGCATTTAAAGCTACGTCAATGCTAACCTTTGGAGCATAAATGGAGAAATAAACTGTGTAATTGGGATTGGCGAAGGGATCCTGATTAAGCGGAGCGATGACTTCGTAGGTCACGGAGAGTGCTTGTACTGCGGTTGACATGCATAGCAGCCAGGTTACTGCCCGCAGAAGTATCTCCGGCTTATCCGTATCCAGAATCGAGAGTAGCCCCGTTACTGTCTGCAATATTTCCCTCTCAAATAAGCAATAATAATTATGCTCGATGCTTTTCGTGCTTTCCCCTTTTGGGCTAGAGACTGGATACAAGTATACTGTTAATCTTTGAGTCAGCTTAGCAGATCAGTCTTCTACATCCTGTAATTTGCCTTGCAGGTTATTTAATTTCTGGTTAGCTTCTGCCCACTGACCCCTAACTTCCCTTTTTTCCATCTTGCCAACTTGCTGTTCCGAAGTACAAAAATCATCAGCTAAGAAAAAAAAAAGATGAATTAAAAATCGGGTTGAAGCACAAAAAAAGGGCTCAATTTGCTCGAAAAAAATGTTAAAATTAGTTGTAAAGAAATGAAATTTGTTAATCAAAAAGGGCCCGGAAACGTTATTTTTTTCAACAAATATAATAAAAATGACCATGGTCAGTGTGGTCATGCGCCTTTATAAAAGCCCGACTACAGGATTACAAGCCAATTTTTTGGTCTGTCACAGCGATGCGTTTCAGAAGCCCGACATCCATTTGATTTTGACGTATCAGCTAAGTTCGTTCAAGAACTTGCTACACGTTGGTCGGCATGTGCTTGTGGTTACCATACGCAGATATAAATGTACAAAATTTGTGCTTAGAAGCTGAGCATGTTGTCGCTGATTTGAATCAATTCCTTCAAGACATCCGACATTAAAACAAGAAATTATGGATTTGTCTTTCTTGGAACTATCTGTGCTTCTTGCCGTACGAAAAAAAAAAAAAAAAGAAAACTACTTAATTCTCGTAGATAATTAGACTCAGTCAAAGTTACGAAAAATATTATAAGACAAAAACAAGCTTTCTATGTTTTTCTCGCATGACTCTGCTTGCTGTATCTTTCAATTAGAATTCGTAAACGAGCAAAATCGAAAATGTTTCTTTTTTCCTACAACATCTGTTGGGTGACTGCTGACAACTGTATAACTGTGTGTCTCAGGATTCTGTTACCTTTGCGGCTAGGATATAAGGAACCATGTCCGGGCAACAGGATAGATTGATCAGCAACCGAAGTGAATTGATGTTTGTTTCACCTTTTTCCCAAAGCCTGCAAATGAATGATGAGACTACTCCGCGTGCAGTGAAAACCAAATAAGCTTTTAGTATGCAAATTCGGAAGAGCAACTTGATTTTTCAGTACATGTCGCGTTGAGGGAAAAATGGACACCGCGCCTCTGTCTTGAGTAACCAGTAGAGCAACCAGTCTAGCAGCAGGCGGTACCTTCGCCGAAGCAGGCCAAGTCTTTTCCGGAGCAGTAGTAATGGATTGCGAGGAAGTTAGGACCCGTAATCCTCACTATTGCGGTATGCTCAATCTGCTGAGTTGCCCGTGCACCTTCGTACCATCCCACTGCTTCTCACTACAGCTCTTATATCACGTATGTGGTGCCTTCCCTTCGGCCAGCTTTTCCTGGGAATTCCAGAACAGTCACAGTAAGCAGTTCAATCAATGTTCTGTTCAGAGCCAAACAGAGTACTTTCTTCTTTGCCACTCAATTCACGGATTTTTCCACCATTATATGTTCTTTTTAATGTGTTTTTGCTAACATTCAGCAGCGCAGTGCCATCCATGTAAGCATTTAATGATACCCCACCAGGAATTGATGGTAAACTGAAGAGTTATGTTGTATATTTGCATGGATAAATGAAAAAGGAGCGTTCACGAAAACTTGCCTTTTTAAGCAAATAGGTATAACAGGTAAGAATATTTCGATCTGTGATGGAGCAATTACAAATGACAGGTTAGTGAGTGCCTGGAATGACACTGTTCGTTCCAACTCGAGAGATGAATCCAGACGCTTTATTACCAGTGGAATGGTTTGTTTCAGGATTGCAGCATTTTCCTTTGATGCGGCCATATTTGCAATACATTGAAGTAACATAACCTAAACCAATCAATTAATACCATCAAAACCGAGTCTTCATTAATTTCAGGAAATCGAAAACAAGGTACTGCAGAAGAGATTAGTCAACAAACCTTGCCGGAATTCGGCAAAGCTGCATGGCTGTTCATCATTGCTGAAATTCGATCCGTGATCCCGGAATGGGCGAATAAGCACTGCAAGCAAACTGATATTCACATAGCCCCTTTTATTGCGTAACTCAAATTTGGACCAAAAGTGGTAAGCTAAATTCCAGTTCTAGGTTATTAATATCATGAGCCATGTTCCAAATTGAAATCTGCGGATTTAAGGTTTGTCATTGATCCAAAATGTTAAATAAATGGCAACGCGCACCAGACTAGCCGGTGCGATCATGCGTTTTGTGCAATTCAGTCC